TTGGGCGGGGCACAGATTGCTTAAAAGTGCAGAGCGAGCTCCAGAGCTGCCAGGAGTTTCCTTCCTTGGAAGCACTCACCTGATCCCTGCAGGAATGGCCCCAGGTCTCAGTGTTTCCCCACGAGCTATGGTTCTGCTCCTGTCCCTGCTGGGTCTGGCAGCTGCTGGAAGGCTCCTGGTGGTGCCAGCGGACGGAAGCCACTGGCTCAGCATGCGGGAAGTGGTGGAAATGCTCCAGCAGAGGGGACACGAGGTGGTGGTGGTGGCACCTGAAGTCACTTTGCACGTCAAGCCATCAAACAGCTTTGCCATGAAAATGTACCCAGTTCCCTATACACAGGAAGAGTTTGACAAAGCATTCCAGGTGTTTCTTCATGCTGTCTTTGAAGAAGGATGGATTATTAAGAGACTTTTTGAAGCATTCAAAGGGATGAAAATCCTCACTGACTGTTGGGTCACCAACTGTAAGCACCTCCTGCAGAACAAAGAGCTCATCGGGTACCTCGAAGAGAGCAAGTTCGATGCCATCCTCACAGACCCTGTAGCAACTTGTGGGTTGATTCTGGCGGAGCATCTTTCCATTCCTTCTGTTTATTTCCTACGAGGAGCCCCGTGTGGGTTAGATTTAGATGCAAGGCTGTGTCCCAACCCCCCTTCCTACGTCCCCAGGGTATTCACAGACAACACAGACCGCATGAGCTTTCTCCAGCGGGTGAAGAAYCTCCTCTTTGACATCCCACTTACTTTCMTCTGTGATTTTGCCTTTGAACCTTACTCCAAACTGGCTTCMGAGTTCCTCCAGCGGGAGGTGACTGTGCTGGATCTCTTACGCAAGGGCTCTGTTTGGCTCCTGAGGTAYGAATTTGTGCTGGACTATCCRAGGCCCTTGATGCCCAACATMATCCCRATTGGAGGAGTAAACTGTGCTCATAAGGAGCTGACTCAGGTGGGTCACACCCAGTTGTTAATTCATGATCTGTGTCGATGAGGGTGGAATTCTGTGTTGCAATAGGAATTGAGTTTGTACAGGGTGAGTGTTGTGAATAATCATGAAAAAATCTGGTTCTCTCCCCCTTTCTTCCTGGCTTTCCATTTCCTGTGCAGGCAGCTGTTCCTTCTGGCTTTCAAAGCATGCTCAGTTGAAAGGAAACAGCAGGGTCTTCTAGTGAGGGTCTGTGATGGGATGTTGATTCCACCAGCAAAGGGAAATTTGTGGACAGTAGGACAATGTGTTTTGTTTGTTTAATAAACAGATCCCATGGTATGTCCCAGAGAAGCTTCAAAACACTTTCCTCCTCCAAAGCCCAGCTGTGATTATTGGAGCAGATCTGATTTGACACATCCAGCACTGACTAGCACTGARGSTTTGGGTGCAGCCTTGGTGATGATGYCAACCACTCCAATGTGCCATGTGCTTCGGGTCCTTGGGGTGCTGACAACA